CTGGCTTATCTTTAGTTGGAGCTCCACTTCCTGCTTCATCCTCACTATCTCATCCTTCAAGGTTTGACACTTTGCTGCAAATTCTGCAGACAACTTCCTCTCTCCTTCAATCTTCTCCTCCAGGAACTTACACCTAGTTTCAAGATCTAAAGATAACACCCTTTTCGATTCAGTTTCATTTTCTAAAATTCCAATTTTCTCTCTTAGCTTCTCAGCTTCCAGACTTTCTGACCTGAGCAGAGAGCTCAATTTGTCTTTCTTTGCCTCTAAAATTTCTGTCTTAGATACAAATTCTGCAGATACCGTCTTCTCTATTTCAACATCCTTCTCTAAAATTCCCATTTTGTCCCTTAGCTTCTCAGCCTCAATATGTGCATCCTCAAGCTGAGACCTTAATGCCTCTCTCTGCTCCTCTAAAGCATTCACCTTTGCTGTAAACCCTGAAGACAGCCTTATCTGCTCCTCAAGCTTTTCTCCTAGTGAAATTATTTTATTTTCTGCTGACATGAGTTTCGATTCCAGTTCTATTTTCTCAGCCTCGACTGCCTCCATATTCTTACATTTAGCTGCAAGTTTAGAGGATAAAGTCCTCTCCTTCTCAACTTCCATATTTGCTGACACAAGCTGAGCCTCCAGCTGCTCTTTCTCTAAAATTAAGGCCTCAATATTCTGACAACTAGTTGATATTTCTGCAGCCTTTCCTTCTAATTGCCTCACTTCCTCTCGAAGCTTTTCAACTTCGAAGTTCATTGTTTCAAGCTGAGCTTCCAGTTCCTTTTTCTTTGACTCTAGGGACTCTACTTCCATCTCCAAAGTATGCTTTGAGCCATTAGCAGAGTTTAGTTGTCGTTGCATCTCATTCAACTTAGTCTCAGCAACTATCAACCGCTCCTGTGAAATATTGAGCTGATCTCCAGTTTCAGCCAAAACCATCTCCATGTCTTGTTTCTCAATAGCCAGTGCATTTATCTCGCATGTTAAAGCATCAAATTCAGCCATTGATGGGTTTCCTTTAGAGGCCCTACGATCGGCCTCAGGCAACGCTGCGACCCTTTCCATCTCAAGAAAATCATCCATCAAGTCAATCTCAACCGAAGAAGTGAGATTTCTACTGAGAACCTTTCGAGCTGAGGCATATGAATCAGGACAGTTGAGCTCTTTAAGTGGAGATGATCTCTTCGCAGATGCCTGTAGTTTTCGGCACTCAGCTTCCAGCTTAGAGACTTTCTTTATGCTCTCTAGGCGCTGCTTGCTGGCAGTTTCAGCTGCCCTAGTGCTCAATTCCATCTCTATGGTCTTCATCTGGAGCTTATCAAATGTGGTAAGGAGCTCAGCCTTTAGATTTGAATTCTCTTTCTCAATTGCTTGGAGTTTTAGTTGAAGATCATGCTCCATGAAAATGGTGGCTTCAGCTTTTCTGGCTTCCAGTTGTGCTTGGAGCTCAGTGATATGAGTTTCGAGTTCAAGCTTTAGGCATTCCCAATCATTGGTCTTTTTAATGAGGGTTTCTTGAAGTTTTTGTTCTTGCTCTTCCCTTGATTGCCTAAGTTGCCTGAGGCATTCTTTCAGTGCTGCATCGAGATGGCCAATTCTGTCCTCGAGAGCAGAGTTCTTCTTGGTTGTGGTTTCGAGATGCTGCTTGAGAACTGAAAGCTCCTTTTCTGCCTTTTCCCATCCTACAAAGATTTCAAATAAACCAGTGAACATTAAAATACAGGATGACAAAGATATGAATTGTCTTTTTTGATGAAGATTATATGGTTACATGACAAATATTTATCTGCAAAGAAATATAACAGACCTTTTAAACAAGGCGGTAGCAAAAATATGTTAAGGCATCTATTAATAATTTGTTTTGCCACAATGAATTAACAAGCGCACATCTCACATTTACAAAATCAAGACAAGAAGAAGAAAAGAAAAAAATCTCAAACCGTGCATGATCCGTGTCATGAACCAAGATACTCCAATCATGAACCAGGTTAACTTGGAATCTCAACATTTAGGAAGAGAAATATGTCAAGTATGTCTCATACATAATAAGATCTTATTTCCATTTAATTGAGACCTTCCATGCTTTTATTTACAAAAGAAAAGTGAACCCGCGCAAAGGGATATTAGATTTATCCAATGAATTAGCTGGTAACGAGGAACCTTGCAGTGCCACTATGATGATGGATTATGTAAATTATTAAATTATAGAAATACCTGCGACGGCTTCCTCTGCAACCTTGGCATGTTCTCTCACCAAATCTTCTTTTGCACTGATGCTGAAAAGAGCAGCTGATAATTTCTCATTGAGACTCTTTACAGTTTCATGAACTTCAATTTTCGATGTAACCTCAGGTGACCGAGCATTATTTGGCGAATTTCTAACCGGAGAACCCCTCAATGCCTCCTGGTAAATAACCAGCAAGCCAAGATTATCACTAACAGATCAGGCATGAATTTGACTGGAGAGGTTTTCATTTTATTGTTTCTTCAATAGTAACATTTCTACAGGTAGAAACTTATTTTAGACATCTGATTAAAGAAAAATAAAAGCATTTGGTAAAAAAAAAAATCTTATAGATATACATTCTGATCTATCGGTCGGATGAAAACTAAGGAGGAAAAGAAAGAAAGATCTTGAGGGAAAAAAAATTTAAGGTGCAAAACTAGAAGCTTAAAAGAATGAAAATATATAGCACATAACTATTCGCAAAGATGTACATATATTTAACAAGGAACATCCCAGAAGAACAGGTAACTATATTTTGAGCTGAAAATCCTCAGCTATCACTGATTCCTTGAAAACCTCCAAGAATGCGTAAGTAGATTATATATAAAAAAATAAAGAATAAAATAAGTTTGAGCTAAAAGGTAGCAGATTTTTTTAACAAATCGTGCTACAACAATTTTACCTACGTACGCAAATCAGGAACCCAAATTTCCATGCATTTACCAAACAGACAGAAAAATCATTACAATTCATACTTAGAAAAACAGATAATTAAAATCCCATCCTCTAATCTCAACTCAAAATTCAAGGGAAAGTTCTAAGAACTAAGATACAATAATGCTAAGCCGCACCCTCAATTGTAAGAGTATACTCGCTCTAAATTCAACAAGTATCCAATTTTTTTCTTTCTCGCAAATTTAATTAAACTGAAACCCAAATTTTTTTTTAAAAAACATTACCTGATCATCTGAGTAGCGCTCGGAAATGGAGGAAACTGATCCAGAGCTCTCGGTCTCTCCTCCCGCACTCTTATCTGATGATTTCCTTCTCCAAAGCCAACTCCTTCGATCCATTCTCCGATCTCAAAACCCTAAATTAAAGATGTAATCACCGACGAAAGAAGCTAAAACACCACAAAATTACAAAAAAACGAAAAAACCCATGAATAAAAACCCAAGCTAACACCCACCCATCTCCCAAAATCTGATCTTTCGAAGGCCCAGCTGGTTCAGTCAAGCGATCGGATCATTAAAGAGAAAAAAAGATGATCTCTTTACGAAGGATCGGTCCCTAAAAAAGGGGGGTTTTAAACCCGCGAATGAAGCCGAGAATGTCAAATTGTTTTGTCATGACTTCAACGTGAACGACATTAAATGTTTATTTATATTTACTGTTGCTGTCTTTATTATTTATTATTATCACTTATTATATTATAATATCATTTTACCTATTTGAGAGAGAAAAAAAATGCATCGGAGAAAAAGGAATTGGTGGAAGTGGGACCCGCCACCCCCGCCTTTTCAAAACGGTATCTGTCTTATTCCCGCCCTCGCCAGAGGTTGTGATTTTCATTTAATTTTCGTGTTAGTGATTTAGTTAGGGTGAAAATAAGAGAATTTTATTTATTATTAGTAAATTGCGGACAAGTTGATCATTTTTTAAAAGAACTGATAAGATAATCTTTGACTTAACTAAATATAAGAATTATTAGGATATGATCATCGTGGTTGATGATGTTGAAAACTATATAATTGCGTACTATTTTTAGTATACTATAGTATAATGACATAGGAAGCGCATATATTAATTTGTTTTACAGAGTGAATAAAAATGAAAACATTTTGTTCCTCAAGTTTTTTAAATAACAACAACTAGTGTGCGCCCCGTGGGAAGCACGACCTTCCTTTTTTTTATCACTACAGTAATCCTATTTTTAATTGCTACAGTATTTTTAAAATGTCACAATATTTTTTTTTCTTAAAATGTTGTAGTAATAATTTTTAAAATGTTATGGTCTCCCATCTCTGCTACAGTAATATATTTTAAAATACAGCAGTAATATTTTTAATACTGCTACAGTATCCCGCTTATGCTACAGTAATATTCCTTTGAATACTGTTACGGTAACCACTGTGATATTTACTGTAGCATAAATAGTGATTAAGAGGAATAGATTAACTCAAAATTAGTTGAGCCTGGCACAAAAGACATTTGAAGGTTGAATTCGCTTTTCGTAATGGACTTTAGTCCCAAATTCTGTATGGAGATTCTATGACAAAAACAGGTTTTCCTTTGAAAATATAATAATTATGCCAATTCCTAGACAAAATATAATCAGACAAATAATCGTGCCTAATGTTTCCCCGTGAGATACGGGCATTTTGTATAAGATTTATCCATGATTCCACGCTTTGATTTTGTCACACATGATTGCTATTTTCTATACTTATGGGGTGATGAACCTTAGCACAGGGAGCCTTTTTTTGCCACCTACTTTGATTCTTAAAACAAGCTTTAGGGAGCAAATGACAATGAAATTTCTTGCACTAAACATAATCCAAGAGTAACTTTGAGAGGGGGAAAAACTTGCATTGCTTTCGTAATTAAATACAAATTTACTGCGAACAAATTTTCAAAACAATCCCATTTCATTTTTCTCTATTTACATTAATCATGCACAAAATCTTGAATAATGTAGTTCAAAACATTTTTTTTTTTGGTCAAAAAAAAAAAAAAAAAAAAAAAAAT